TACAGGGGCATGCTAGCCACTACTCTGGTTCGAGTAAATTCAAAAAACGAGAGCACCTAGAAATCTCATGCCCATCTCACGAAACAAATAAGTACAGAATAATAATTACTCTTCTAAGTTTAACATTGTTTACCATCCCATACTCAGGCACTACTGACAAGCTGTTTCAACTTCACAGTCCAAAAACACGATATATCCACAACTTCCAAGTTTGTACTCACATAAATGAGGTGTGAGTTCAGGAATTGATAGCGGATAAAGGCAAACGCGATGGGTGCAAGGGCTAATGCTCCATGGCATAAACACTGCGGCTCAGAAACACTGGTATCTGCCCTGGGCAAGGCCTAGAAGTTTTATTTTGTGATTTCCTTCGTTTGGTGCGGTTCTTCGGTGTAATTAATTCCCGTGATTTTTCCCCTTAACCTGCTGATGGCAAGGAATTCATAGATATTTCAAAAAAACTGAATATCTATCTTAGTCTACTAGTGACACGCCACAAATTTTTGGTACAAGAGGGATTTGACTGTTCACAGTAACGCCTTTGTTTCCGCTTGTTAACTAAAGTCTTAAATCCAGATTTCATACTGTACTTTGCAAGTTCTAGAATGGTTGAATTGGTTCCAACGACCAAATTGCGCGTGGGAAAATGCACATATTGTGAGCGAAAAAACAGTTCAGCGGCAGGAAATAAACACAAGACATCATTAATGGCACGTTTGCAAACACGCGTAACGTCACTCCTATGTCCTCATACATCGCACATATTTGCTGCATATTCCTAATGAACCAAGAGTTAAAAAACCTCAAAATCAGTAATCAAACGCATACGTACCCTCTATAGTGCGTTAAACCTAGATACCATTCACAGATCCGGGAATCAAGAGAACTTTTTGGATACGCATTTCTGCATTTTGGTTATTTTTCCCTCATTTTATTGTTTATGAGATAATGATGAATTGAAATGTGACGAACAAAGTGTAAAACCCTGTGTGAAGCCCCCAGGATTCTCAAACTAGGACTTGAAATATACTCGATATGTAGCCTCATTAACCATATGCCTCCCACAGTTACAGTCTGAGATTTGCTCTCCTGATTAAGTACACGATTATCCAAACCTCTGTCAGGAGTCGTCATAAAAGAAGCGCAATAGGCGTTTGTTGAATTTCTTCAAAATATCCTTCATCTTATCTCAGTGTTTCTGGCCAACACACACACACACTCCATAGCTTTCGACGTTTCACCTCGGACCGGGGGAAAACCGAGCCGCGTAAACCATTCGGTTTGCTGTCCAGGTGATTTATGCCACCTAACGGTAGAACATGGTAGAACTGTACTACTGTTACCATAGTACAACCATACTGCACTGCCGGCACGCGTCTCTGGCTCTGCTAATGCGTGCTTGCTTTACACACAGTAAAACAGGCCCATAAACAATACCCAGAGAGAGGATGACATGCCGCGAAAGAAGTTGTTTTACTCTGGGACAAGCAGGAGAGAAATATGGTATTCTTCTTTGCCCAAAAAGGAGGCGCTCACAATTTTGCTGGCAGACTAGCACATGAGAGCAAGTAACACAACTGAGAGGACTTGTGCGTGTGTGGAGGGGTGAAATTGGCCCCCCTCTCCGGAGTGCAAACAATGAACACATTGAAAAAAGCAACATGATATGATAAGCAACGGATCATTGTTTTGGCTCTTCACTTCGATCGAAATCAGAGTTTTCACCAACTGATCAAATGTTGCAATGGACCAAAAACAATCCTAACTTATTTCACGATTATAATGACTCGCTGATTCACTGAGACCGCATTGATTACTGTTACTTATCAACCTTGTGTTCTGATAGTGTACAAGTTTCATTATATATATATATATATATATATATATTCGTAGGTAAGAGAGATGGAGAGGGTATGAATTCCTAAAAATATTTTGGAAAAAATCGATTGAAAGTAGGTTGTAAGCCATATTGGGTTTTGTTAGTTTGAACTTTAAAGTGTTTTATCGGATTTGAACTTAGACCAGTTACCTCATCATAATGAAATGCACAGGCACTGTGTTCACCATTACTTTTCTTTTAGTGTGTGAAATCCAGTTCTGCTTTTCTCGGGAAATCTGTAGCTCCTGATTGCGGGGAGGGTACTCCAAAAGAGCTTGTGCAATACATACACGGTAAGTGGTAAATACTATGACTTTGATGGGCTTCCAGTCATTAGATTTGACAGGTTAACCTACTGCCGGTAATCTTTTTGCTTCTTTAGTGACGACATCTCGGTTGGCCTGTCGGAAACGGAGCGTAGTGGAGGTCAGTCAATTGTTATTACCAATTCACCAACACCGCAAGCGAACGGTATCGTCACCTTAATTCAATGGGGTCAATGTTTCAGCATAACATTGCGTGTCTTCACATCTACGGTCAATCGGAACACCCAATTCAGACGGGCAAATTTAAATCAGCTCTCGTGAAGACTCCAACTGTCGGAATAACAGTTGTTGATATGCGGCCGCATCAATGGAGAACATTTAATGAGCGTCAATCCAAAAGTGACCTCAATTCACTGGTTTGGGCAAGTGAAAAACCAGATGAGGTTGTCCTGCCATAACGACAAGCAATACGAGCAATGAACACAGCAGTTCCTGGGAAATCATCGGCAATGTAGAAGCAGAGAGGCTGGACTGTTGGGAAGGACACGCCATCCCAGCTGGCAACAACCAAATTGGTCGTATCCAGACAACTGAATTCAGACGTTCTTGTAGTTGAGCGGATCGGTTACACTTCGCTTATTTGTGTGTGCTTGTGACTTCCAGTAGTTCCCTCCATGCTCCTCTGGGCGGAACTTGTATACATGCTTCGTCATGTATGGATGGCTGAAAAAATCGCTGAACAATTTCAAGATGAACCTAGGTTTGCTCATAAACTTATGTTAGCTGGATGCGTTGAACCGTAGCTTGGACGCGAGACATGTTCTCCCATGTTATGTTCCACGAGTTACAAGATGATGACACTTGCTAGGTAACCATGTCTGTAGGAAGTGCTGCACGAAGGATTTCCAGTGTGATTCTCATGAACCTGTAAATGACACCAGAGTTGTGATTTTGACTCCTCAGAGTAGAAAGGACTGCATTCTTTTCCACTGAAGAATTTGATGAATTAGATGATGAAGAACACTTTCACTTGCAATTTTTCACGCATTCATCGAGCACGAATTAAGGCATGCCGCCAGAAACGTCTGCTCTCCAGACATTTTGAATACAGTCACGTATATTGCGAATGGAAGTTGCGGCATAATACCTCAGGTTAGTGCATAATTTTCCGAGCTGGTTCAATCGGTTGGCGGATTGTTCGTCAACAAGCACAAGAACCATAGGCAACATCAAAATCTAGAGCGAATACACTCAGTCGCAAACCAATTTTTTACAGAGACTCAACTGAGTCTCAGCTGAATCCCCGTTTATGATATTCCTCAGTTAAATGTGCTGCACATAAGGCACCTCATGTTTTGGAAGGTACGATATTCGAGACATCTCAGTACATTGGCTAGACAGATCACACTAATCACATGCTTGCTAGGAACTCCCCCACAGCTCAATACCGGTTTCGCGCTTGTTGGAGCTCATCAGCTAGGCACAGACCCTGAGTGTCTCGAAAGTAGTCCATTTACGCAGCATATTTAGTTGGAAAAGAACATAAACGAGATGTTCAGCCTGGATTCTGTTGAGTCTCCCGTGTAAACCAGAATGATGTGCAGATGGGCGTATGGATCAAATCGCATACAATCTGCGTTCAAACAGAACATAAGGTTGACGGAAGCTCGGAAAATGCACCTACCTAATGAGCCCCAAGAAGACTGAAACCCGCCGTGCGCTGTTCAAGTTTCTCAGGAACATTATAAGTAGGTTTTTCAGGGGACACTAGAGTAAGTTTTGAATTCAGATATGCATACAATTGATTAGCGTGTAAAGCGGTTACATGTGAGCGATTGGCTGCGAAATACGTGGTATAGAATAATGCTCTACAATACCCCGTGCTGTTATATCACCTTGAGTAGTCATCCACTAGAAACCAGACTACTTTTCTTGTCTGTCACTGTAATGGAAGTATAAAGCAGTAGAATTGTAACTTGACTTGCTTTCTTGGAAGCCAGCAAGTCTCTCTCCCCAGGATCTAATTCACCTTAATCTTTTTGTAGATGCAGCAAAATATACCTGCGTATCGACTTCACTGTCATTACTTCCTAAGTTCTCCTAAGAGAGTGAAACATTCGTGCGATCCTTATGCTATCATACTAGGTAGTCACGTGGCCTATTATCCTTTTTTTCTTATCCGTTTTTTACCAATGAGCTTTCATCAGTCAAACGTCAGTGTTTATTTCTCCACCTTGATCACAATTATGTGGGGTTTTCATACACTGACTTTTCCCAACTTATAATTATTTCATGAGTTGCATTGAATTCACTTGGAATAAAATGGGGAGAAGATAGGATACATGGTTTGCGATGGTTTGAAAACCCGTCTGATGTTAAATCGTCCCTTGTTTTTGTGTGAAAGAGTCTGTTAAAGCTTTTAGGTGTCATCATCTAGTCTCCGATATGCTGTCGGTCTTCACGGGTTCCCCTGTACGGGTTGAATTTACATCATCCCCTTTTCTGCCAAAGTAGACCACAGTGCGCTTTGCGAACAGAAGCTGCTTATTCTGAGTGTAATCCTTCTGTTACCAAGTTTTGCAGTTTTTCGCGTAAAACTGGCATGGACCAAAAGTAAAAACAGTTACTGATAGGAAATGGCAACATCTTCACAGTTTCATGCTTCAAGCATAGAGTGTCGCAAAGCATCTTTAGGCAGTTATAATTATTAACTGACTTTGTCAGTGGTTGATCTCAAATATATATGCATAAAAATAATGAATTATTAAGCATCAGAAGCCACGGCTAATGGCCACCGATTTCGGAAAGGCAGTTTGGCCAACTGCACTGTTATTTGCACGCACGTGTCAAGAGTGTGTGAACGTGTTGACTGCCAGTCTGGGGCATTCCGTCTGCCATCACACTATGGGCACAAACCAGGTAAAAGACAAACTGTCTATGCAACGCCGTATATCGACTCAGGCAAACTGCTGTCACAGTGAGTACTCCAAACAAAACCTGACAACTGGGGCGATTCGGTTTCGGTCGGCAGCTGAGGTTAACTGCAGACTCGACGTATCGCGTGACAGGTATTAGTGGTTCCTTCAAAGGAAAAAAACTCCGCATAAGGTGGCCGGGAAGATAGATTCATTGGGAAATCACGGAGAACACGAGTAGTTACAAGAGGGATTTTGAATTTGTCCAAGATGGAAATGTTTGGTGAAGTTGTGGTTGATTCAAGTGGAACAACAGAATAGGGAGTCATGCTGCTTCTTGTTGATGGTCGGATGCGTTTGTCACAGATGATGTTAAGTTCGGCACTATGTAATGACAACACACTGCTTGTAAATGCCCGTACCTACATCCCCTATTACGTTGTCCAGCTTCGCTGAATTCCTTAAGAGTTTTTTTCTACAAAAACTACCAATGTCTAGTAGGCACTAGTCACTGGTATATTTCTGTGCCAAGCCCCATACAGTGGTTTGGGAGGATGGATAGGATGTGTGCCGAATTTTATCTAAAAATCTGTCGGCATTTTTATCGCAGCTAGTGAGAATAGGCATTATTGAATTCAAGCACCTGTATGTTCTACCCTTACGTTCAGATGTTTTCTGGACGCATAAGAGGGCGTTTTCAGTAGACTACAAGCCACGCTGACTTACTCAACTTAACCGATGGAAACTACAATCGGCGCTTCAGCATAAACGTCTACCTTTGTACCCACGCGTTCACCATACATGGTTTAATCATCATATATTTTTTATCAGTTTAGTCGAATAACGGCTGACAAGGTATATGTTCAAGCCACCTTGCATAAATGGGCATTCTAACAGTAAAATGCTCTCTAGAAAATTTAGCGAGTAGTACACATCCGACCACGTAGCTAGCCATTTTGCTGAAATCCTGTTCTGCCCTTGTCACTGTCTCCTTCTCGATTATACTCAGGAAAACTCCCCAAAGCAGGTCCGTCGCATTTCACATTGGACCACTGAGAATCAGGTTATTGTGCGTCTTCATGTTCTTCCGGCTAACTGCACTTTTGAGTTGTGCTAAGATTCATCCAAATGGCTTGCTGAAAAAAGTAACTCCTGCGTTATTCAACCCTATTTGTTGGTTTTATGGGAATAATACGGATAGATGTCGGATTTTTGTCTAGCTTAACTGCTAAGATAACTCCCAAGCAGGTTACGGTTATGTTATGGTGGATGAGTGAGTCCGAAAAACAGCAGCTGATGTCGAACAGTTAACGTTTGAGATGACAGAAATACGGAATTTCGCACCAGTGAAACATATCAGCTGTGAATCTGGCCAGGGTAACTCGATATACAAACTCACTCAGTGCTTGAGAATTTCACGTTTGTTACTGCAGAAACCTACAGGTTACTGCATACCTTGTCAGTTAACTAGCTTGCCGCGCGCATGTTTTCAACTTGAAATCCGTTTGTGTCTGACCTCGAAACGCGTCTTCTTCACGGAAAAAAATCAGCCCATTGTTTTTCCATGCGTTTGTTCTTTGTTTATCACATATGTTTCACAAACCTTCAAGCTTGATTGAATTCGGTTCGACTATGGTTGACTATGAAATGTAAGAATCTATTTTAGTACCTTGGATTTACTGTGCTTCAAAGTGTTAATGAGAGCACGTCAACCAGAGTAAAACTGCCAATAATTTGGGGAGATCTGGAAGTTTCTAATAGGGTTTTCGTCCCGTAAAGTAGACCGAAAAACTCTCTTCCCTGTTTAGAAATAACAAGCTACTTTTAAAGGTTGCTATAAAAACCTTCGGAAACCCACCACCAGTTTCGTCTTTCTTGGGGTTTTTCAGGTAAACGCGGTTCCCGAGCTTTCACCATCTTTATGCTCTACATGAACTCAAATTCGGCTCAATTTGTGGAGCGCAGTAAGTTGCAAGCTAATTTGCTTTGTCCGAAGGACTCATTTCCAGTTGAATCTTCCCTTATGTAATCTATCAGATTTATCTGCCGCATAGGGGTTGCCTCATGCTTCGTTTGGCACAATATTAGAGATAGCACTTTGTATAGTCTTAATGAAACAATACTCACCATGCTGTCTATTTTATGAGCCCCAAGAAAGACTAAATTGGCCGTGATCTGTTACTCTTGTAAATGGCGCGTCTCGTCTAGATAATGTACTACGACATCTAGACTATCGTCCCAAATGAAATGCGAGACGGCCTTATGCAGCAAAATCAGTTGAAGAATATCATAAACAAGGGGTTCCGCTAGGATTCATTTGAGTCGCACATGAAAATCAAACTGGTTCACAAATGAGTGCATTTCGCAAACCGTTCCATCCTTGTTTCAAATAATCGGTAGGACGCACCTCAGTTAAGATGGAGTCACTTGAGTAGCCAGTCAATTCATGTCCGCGTGATGTGAATCCCATGACTTCAAGAATGAGTGGTGCTATATTCTGTCCAAGTGCGGGTTGATCACACCGTTGGTAAACCACTCTTGATCGGACGGTTCTGCCTTCAAGTACTAGCCTGAAAGAAGTTAGCACAAGTCTTTCTTAATGTTAAAAGTAAGGTGCAATTTTAAATTTACACACGAACCAACAACTACCTTGATGATTTATTAAACTTAGAGCAATCAAAATGAAATATGCTCACCAGCAAACTGACTGATTTCCTCTAGAAAGTGAATATTTTTAACCGTCCAATTGTGAACCGTGTTCAAAATAAGCACGGGCTTTGTGCAGTGATTACTAAGCTATTACTTGTTGGACCGTTAGCACTGAACTATAACTACTCCTATAGAATCAACTCTGCTTTTGCGTCCTCAAGTATTCAGGACAAACGATGATGTAACCTATGCCTAAAGGTTGAATGTAGGGAGAAGATTGAATTTAGTATATGGAAGGCGAATGTGCAACATACAAACAAACAGCTCAACGGAGCGAACACTCAATTTTCCCATAAATCTTCACTTTCAGTATCCTGACAGAATGATGATTTCGCAATCACATGAAGACTTTCGCCATCAGAATATTTTTTGGAGCTGCTCTCTAAAAGTTTTGTTTTGACTTAAGTTTAACCGGAATAGCCAACCTACCGGTGCATTTTTGTTTCAATCTAACTCGTGCGTCTATGTATGCCTGCTTGACGGTGGGTGTGTGTATGTTGGGAAAAGAGTGAGCAGAAGTGTAGCAGCTATTTGCAGAGCCATGAGAGAAAACAAACGACATGACCCATGATAAATGATCAGTCTGAACATGTCTACTGGGTAGTTTCAGGCAATGTTCAAGAGAAATTAAAATGGTTCATTTTAATTCTCTCACCAAGCTGGTTTGTGGAGAGTTGCCGCTAACCGGTAGCTGACACCTCCGGATGAGCACATAACACTTTGGTGGATGTATCACTGTTCCCTCAGATTTGTAACGTCAGCTATAAATTGGTCTGCTTTTAAACTCCTTTGCGTGCCTGAAAACTGAACAAGTATGTTGGCCACCACTGCAAAGTTAATGGTCTGTAAGTAGGATAACATCTTGCTGTCATCAAACCTCGCTGCTGACCTTGTCTTCTGCTAGGAATCATATCTTAGCTGCTCTCCGACACATCTTCCCCTTGTCGATTAACATCTGTTCACGATTTGTTTGACGCACAGTCTACCAAGAGGCCTGGTTTGCACAAAGTTGGAAATTTGACATGCCATACAGCATATAAGTCTTGGTTCAATGAAATGCGTAAGGAGTTCGCGTGTCGTTTGTTATGGCCTTCCGAACGTACAATCATTCTACACGCGACAACAGTGCTTGGCGTCGAAACTATTTAAAACAAATGGAGAGTGAAAGATATTCCACAGATAACAGTCACTGAGGTTTAATCGATGCATTCCAAGTCATGTGATACAGTAGTATGGAGACTGAGCAACAGTCACCGTGAGATGGACACGAAATTTGCACTTTTTCGTCTAAAGCGTTCATTCTTTGAAACTTTCAATGAATTTTGGACAAAACGGATTCACATCACCATCAGTATATTGATAAAGACCGAATAGTGATAGCCGTAGAAAATTTTCAAGTAGGTATAAACATGACTGCTTTACGGGTGTATGAAATTTAAGGAAGTCTATTCTGGTGTGTGATGAATGGCTTTCTCGTGAAACTCTTATCCGGTGTCAAATTAACTTGAGAGTGCTTGATGAACAAGTGAACTAAGGATGCGGTGAATACCAAAGTTAATGGTTCCTCTTCCAGGAAAATAACAAAATGTTTGTAGAGTTTTCAAATGAAATTTCCCTCATGCGAGTTAAGCTTATCTATACTGAAAAGCCGAGGCACTATACAGCTTTTTCATCCAGGAATACACATATAAAAAACGCAGAGAATTTCCAGCCTCGGCCATCAGTAGGACACTTGACTGTTCGACGACGAACCAATGACCAGCATTGGATAAGCTCTTACACTACCGTTGTTCTATAAGTTAGCCAGAGGTGACGTGATTTCTGCGAGTAAAGGATGAGCGGTGCTATATCCTGTCTAGGTGAGAGCTCGTCACATTGCTTTTCAGTCGCTCGTAGTTGAGCGGTTAGATGATCGAACACCGGCCGGAAAGTCCCGAGTTCGAAACTTCCCACTGCAGTTTCTTTGGATGCTGCGGTTCTCAGTTAGGGCAAAATAATCGTACAGCGCTTCTCGGTTTTTCACCATAGATGGGTTTCACTAACAGGTCGAGATATCATTTAAAAATCGCCAGATCTTCTCGCATTACAGTATATCTGCAAAATTCAGCTGAACAGAGGAAACTTATCTGACCCGAATGATAACACGAAACACTAAATACTAAGGCTGCAATGCTATTATATATCATATATATATGTATACTATGTAACGGTGGTTCGTAATTTGGTGTTTCAATCACTTCAGGATTTGCTTATTTACACTGGTGAACTCTAAATAAATGTAGATATGATGAGGACGAAGATATCTGACGTAAAGGAGAGGCCTACTTTGCTGATGATTCTAGAGCAACTAACTGATGAAAGTTTTCATATTTGTATAACCGACATTCTTCGTCAAAGGCACATCATTGGGGCAGGACTCTCATAGGGTCTAAACCATCTTTTAACCTATACTGTGATTTGGTGACTGCATTTTTCCACCTTGGTCGGAATGAGTAAATGTTCCCAGGAATACTTATCTAATTGAAGCCCAATCTACCCGAAGGAAGGCTAATATTTTTAACCTTGAGTGGTCAAATTTTCTTTCACTAAGGTAATTGGCCTTCCAAGGGAACAATAGTAACTGATGGTCAAACCAACTTCTTTAGGTATTTTGTATGGTGAGAGTAACTCGGTATTCGTAGCTCAAGGTGCCTCCAGATGATCTAAAGATGTAGTATTCTACCTTCTTTATGTCTGAAGAATATTCGTCAACGGTAGAACCATGTCGGATAAATAGACGCTAGGCAGACTGTCGGCAGATGAGCTGATAGGTTTTCTGACAAGTCACTGTCATACTTCGTGCTGCTTACCCACGGCTCATCGATTATATAGGCAAAGAAACAAATCTGGTCTATTTGCCCCCAAAGATTACTGGGTTATTGGCCACTGGGGTATATACGTGTGGTTGAGAGAGGCCCGAACTAACACAAAGGCACATAATTCATGATGATCAGGAGAACATATTTCTCTTGATGACAACGGTCCGTTGTAGCTGCAGACCGACGGAAGGACATACCGACAACCTACAATTTACTGACTATATCGCTTATTTCACTGGTCTTCAGTGCCACCATCGCAGCCTCTGCTAGAAGTGCTCCTCGCACATGTCTACGAGAGAGGGAGAAGCATCAGCCACGGTCACTGCCTCCTATGGTTTGTTACAGAAACCATGCGCATCCAGTAGGTATGGGTAAAGGGAGAGGGATAAACATAAACGAACGTGCATAGGAAAACGAGCATAGAGGCTGGAAATTGAAGGTGAAATTCGCGATCTACCTGAAGTGCGTGTTTTAAAAAGGTGGGGTGGTCTTGTTGTTGGTTGTGGGGACGACGATGGGTTTTGTTTGCTGGTGGATACCCAAGATGGACTGGGAGAGCGACAGGGCAGAAAAGTTGGGAGAGAGAGAGAGAGAGGACAAGCAAGGGTAGGCAAATAAATCACCCATAGTTGACGGCAAAGCAACTTCGGTAGTGCGTACATGGGGAATGTGCGGTCATGCCACCTCTTAGCATGGCTACTGCAAGTCTTGTATCTGCTGCATGTGTGCATCGCGCACGCATGCGTGTGGCTAGGCAGGCAGGCAGGCAGGCACACATAGTCCTAGTGGGATCGTTTCACCCGATATCAGTTAGCCAGTTGCTCGCTCGCCACCAGAGTGACAAGCATGTTGAGTAGATTTATGTGGGCGCACTCGAAAAACGTAACAAGGCAGATAGGGATGGAATAAGGTCGATGAATCCATCGCATTTCATTATTTTGGATGGAAAAATGGTCTTTTTTTAAAGACTGTATTTATGGAGCTTTTTAAAGATTAGCTTCTTGGTTTCTTAGTTATTTTGAGATTTCCAGGAAGATATTTAAACAAAAAATACTGTCTAAGTGGCATTGTTTCCTGTGGTCAGTTGTGTTCTATTCGATCGGTTTTGATGAACTTAGCGAGCATCTATGTGGTCTGATTCGGTGGGAACGTGGGACCACTAGACACTGCTCCCAAGTGGAGGAAGGGCAATGTCCTTCTATACTGTAAATCATGATTGACCGGCTGATTTTATCCCAAGCAACACAAAAGACATGGGATTCATATTTATGTAACAAATTGACGTTCTCTTTTCAAGCCTTTTAGATGGTTTTCGTACCAACCTTACTGATGTGAGTTGCAACGCCTGAGTAGCTAATGCGTGCAAACATACATAATCCGGAAGCCCGATCATCGCG